ACGATATCGAGAGTGCCAAGGCCCCCGGCCCAGATGGGTACACCTCAACATTTTTTCGGAAAAGCTAGGACATTGTTGGGGAGGATCTCTCCTTAGCCGTGCAAGAATTCTTTAGGAATGGGCACCTACTCAAGAAATGGAACCATACTACACTAGTAATGGTCCGCAAAGGCCCCCGTGCGTCCTAAGTCTCGGGCTTTCGACCGATTGCGTGTTGCAATACCACTTACAAAATTTTCTCGAAAATCATATCCCAGCGCATAAGCTCCGTTCTTGGCTCAATCATTGATGGAGCTCAAGCCGCCTTTGTGTGTAGTAGGAACATGTCTGATAACATTCACCTCATGCAAGAATTACTCCGGCAATACATGCAAAAGTGGATCTCCACGAGGTGCACTATCAAGATTGACCTTCGTAAGGCTTTCGATTCTATCTCTTGGGCTTTCTTGAGGCAAGTTCTTCATGGACTTGAATTCTCGGCGACTTTTATTAATTAGATCACGGAGTGTGCCACCACGACTTCATACTCAATCTCAACAAACGGATCGCTTTGTGGCCACTTCAAAGGAGCCAAGGGGTTGAGACAAGGTGATCCGCTCTCGCCTTACCTCTTTGTTATTTGCTTGGAGTACCTCTCGAGGCTAATGAACCGGAGCACGGCTAGCGGATTGGGTTTCAACAATCACCCGAAATGTGAATTTCTTAGAATCACCCACTTAGCCTTTGCGGATGACCTAATGCTTCTCTGGTGGGGTGACTCTCGTTCTATTCAAAAATTCTCTCTTCTCAGTCTTATACTGTGTTTTAATAATAACCAACCTGATCCAGTGAACAAAGTCCAGCAGAGCAACTTTATCGAGGAGCAGGTTTCTGCTGTTAGCCCTCCGCCATCCTTTTCAACGGGATCTCATGGATGGAAGAATGGAATTATGTAGGGGGTAGAAATGTAGAAATTTATCGAGCTCCCGAATGAAACCTTTAGGCGGACAAATGGCTTGCCGCCCCCTAAACTAAAGATAAGAGGAGTGGATTAGAATTCATCATGGTCCATCAGTGCGCTCGCTCCGGATTGCTTTATGAAAGAAGAATTAGTTTTGGGACCGTTGGTCAAAGAAAAGGTAAGGTCCTGATTCCGGGACGGAGCCGTATGACGCGAGAGTGTCACGTACAATTTCTTTCAGAAGGGTGTGATACCACCAACTATTAGGCCCGACGAGCGGTCCACGGAGTTGCATCCTTACTCACCTGGTCTATGCACATCGCTCTCTCCAAGAGGTTGGCCACCGGTACTAGATCTTCCCATTTTCAAGAAGATCCCCAGCTCGATCTGGTTTAGTATCAAGGTGATTCTCTTTCTGTTCCTATATATATGGGTCCGTGCAGCATTTCCACGATATAAGTGTGCAGATTGGCTACACTTGCTCAGTCCAGTGGCCATGGAGTTAGTATTCTGGACCCCGACGAGCTTGTGTCTATGCTCACTTCTGATAGCTTAGGCATTCAATTCTTAAGGCTGTAGGGCCTTCCGTATCAAAAAAGAATTTCATTCAGTTAGATGGAACCCTGTAGATCATCCTGATCTATCAATCTTTCTACTTTTAGAAATATGTCCATTTATTGGGATTGCAGATCTTGAAAGGCATAATGGTTTTTTTTTTTCATTTCTCTCTTGATTCAATCCAGCCACAGGTTCCCCTACGGCTACCTTGTTATGACTTTCAACCAAAAGTCATCCAGGCTCTGAGCTACTATACTCAGTATACCTAGTAAAGTCACCCCCTTGCTTGAGAGACTTTGGGGCTAAATCGGGTTTGGAAATGAATGTCCAAAAATCCAACATCTACATGGAGGGGGGTGGCCAATTGGAGCATTCGGAGATTCTTCGTGACACTAACCTCCGTCCGGAGTCTATGCCTTTCCGGTACCTTGGTATCCCACTCACAGCGGAAAGAGTCACGGTTGGGAAATTTGATGCGCTCATTAATCAAATTTCGGAATACACCTATGGATGGAACGCTTCCTCTCTCTCATATGCGGGGCGAGTGGAGCTCATAAGATCGGTCCTCCCAGAGCTGGAATGTTTTTGGATGTCTATCTTCCCTCTTCCATCGATCGTTCGTACGCTTATCATCCAACGATGCTGACACATCTTTTCGGGCTCAAAGATGGCACCGATGGCTTGGCACACCGTCACCCTTCCACGTTCGGAGGGAGGCTTAGGCCTTTGGGACCTTAAAGCGTGGAACCAAACATTGCTAGCGCAAACACTATGGAATATTCAAGCAAAGAAAGACACCTTGTGGTACCGCTGGGTTCATCATGTTTATCTAAAGCAAAAATCCGTTTGGCAATGGACCATCCACAAGAAGGATTCCTCTCTTTTCAAGAACCCCTATGACATTCGGAACCTAATATTTGAAAAGTTGGGTAGCACGCAAGCCGCCAAGGTCTCTCTTAGTCTTTGGGACTCCAAATCTCAATCCAAGGGGCCCACATGCGTCTACGAGTTCTTCCGATCCCAAGGCACACCCGTCCCTTGGAAGGGTGTGGTTTGGGGGCCCGCCAATACCCCCAAACACGCCTTTATCCTTTGGCTTGCAATGCTCGGGAGGCTCCGAACCAAGGATATGCTTGCCTTCCTTGATGTTGACCCTACTTGTGCCTTTTGTGGGCAAGCTTCCGAGACCAAGGATCATCTCTTTTTCACTTGCCCCCTTTTGGCTCAAGTTTGGCTTTCCATCCGACATTGGCTAGGATTGAGGTGCCAACTTTCCACACTAAAAGCGCATTAAAGTGGATTAAGAAGGAATCCCAAGGCTCCGGTTGGAGAACAAAAGCAACAAAGGCTGGGCTCGCCCGCCTTCACACTAGGGAGGAAAAGGAGCCTAAAGCAAGCTTGCTTATGGTAACACAACCATCATCACATAAGATTTTTTAGGGACAGATCTCGGAATAGGAAGATTTTTGAAAACGAGGTGCAAACTCCGGAGCTCATTATCCGGAAGATTCAAACCCATGTCTACCGGAATATTTTCGCTTTGTACCCAAATGTCCTTGCCGACATTGAGAGAAAAGCCCTCGGAAATGGCTTGGCTGAGCCTCATAAAAGTGTGCATGATTGAGAGTCATTTTAGAAGCTTGATTGTTGAGATTTTGGAGTGGCCGGATGGCCTTGGTAAATGGTCATTTGGATGGAGAAAATTTTCACCGAGCTCACTTTGGTACGAGCTGAGAAACCCAACTGTGGTTCGCCGCTCATTATTTTGATTAGCAAGTGAGGGACTGGATTGTGGTCGCCCATTTAGCTTTTGTATGTTGTGATACGGTTGATGTAAAATCAGTTTTGATCTATAAAATTTATTTAACGGTAAAAAAAGAATAAATAAAAAAAAAACTTAGATTTCTGATGCCAAAAGCTTGTTCATCTTTATAGGCCATATTAAGAAATATCTTAAGATTATCCCAAGCCTCTCAATCCATGAAACCCCCTGAGTAACTAGATCCTCCCTTTTTTCTTCGCACTCTAAGAGTTCCCTGTACACCACCTTCTAACCCGAAGGCTCTCGTTCTCATGGTGCTCAACCACGACCACCCTGTTCAGAATATGTTCGACCAAAGCGGCTTGTTTGGTTTGTTCGACCGACTCACTGGACCGGTCTACTTCTTTGGGTATGATATCTCATATCAAAGTGCACCTAGAACCAATCTAAACCAAAAAACATAAAACACAGATAACTACAACTAAGCTCCCATAAGTGGGGAAAGAAAACCTCTCACAAGTGGAGAAGCTTCCAACCGGAAGAACAAAAAAAAGACCAACAAAACACAAACTTACTACAAACAAGCAGCAAAAGCCAGAAAAACAACAGAAACTAACGAAAATAACATCCTCTCTATCGGACGTCAGTCCTAGTGGCAACACAACCAAACAAACACCCAAAAGTAACCAGCCGAAAAAGTCCCCAAGAACTACAACCCAAACCGACGGAACCAGAAACTCCCTTACTAGGCTAGAACCGGACCGTAGATCTGAAACCTCCCCCAGCGACCGCAAACTCGCCCAGGCCGGTTTACCTCCACAAACCCCCACGCATACTCCGGAGCCACCAACACCTTGACGTAGCTGCCAGAGGACTCAACCATCTCAGCACCAGAGAATATCGAGAAAGAGGGGAACCATAGCGGGACCGCCGCCACAGACCTCCGCAAGGGCATCCGCGACAAAAGTCGAATGCAGCGTCAGGCGCAACCCAAGTCAACCTCGCCCGCCATGGCGCTCACGAGAGAGCGGGACCATTTCGAGGAGGGAGAGAAGAGATACAACCACGGCCGCACCGACATACCTGGGCGAGCGAGAAGCTCACCGAAAGAGCAAGAACAAGGTCCGCGCCCTATGAAGAAGATCGGCTAGGGCTCGACGGGGATGATTTGGGGATTTTTTTAGGCTAGGGGTCGGGTTTTTAAACTGTTGAAAATTGATTGATTTGATTATTTCCAATGGTGACGAATATGTTTCTATGAGAAACGCCAATAGTTTGGAAGAAGCGGCATTGTATGCAAACAAAATATGCAACTAAATAATTGAGGAAAATGTGTGCCCACAATCTCTCGTAATACGACATAAATTTGTCAATTAATTTTTCTACCTAACAAGTACATATACAGTTGCTGCACATTAATGCCTGCATATAGCAGCATCATTATAACGTGAGTCTTGCTCTAC